CCGCTCACACTGAGCCTGGTTCTGCTGGAGGTTTCTTCCTGTTAAATGGGAGTTTTTCCTCTCCACTGTCGCTACAAGCATGCTTGGTGTGAAGGATTGCTTTTGAATCAATGAGTCGATGCAATCAACTGGTTTTCCTTAGATAGAAAACTTTGAACTAATCTGACTGTATGAACTGGTTCAACTGTCTCTGACATGTTTTGCAAATTGGCGCTATTTCAATGAATAGAATAATATTCTGTATAAGTTGCTGTTACATCCATGTGCTCATTGAGCCATACTTACGTTAGCTTTCTGAACAGATGCTGCAGCGTTGATTCCTGTTACCTTCCTTGTGTTTTCCTGCTGATTCTATAATAGTGAGATAGTTTCAAATTAAATTACTTGCTAAAAAAGAGAAACATAAACAATGGAAACATCATCTGTAAAGTTTGTTCTGAATCTCATTCAGATCTAAGGACCCCAATAAGTTTAAACATTTCTAACGGAGGGCTTAGTAGAAGACACACACCAGTTTCCACCATAAAACAAGCCACCATGGAAAGAGCTCAAATGCTGGTGGGTTCTAAAAGAGTCGTCAGCAGCAAAGTCTGAGCTCTGCATAAGGCCACAAGGCTAAATGAAATGGTTTGTCTCTTCACTCTGGGAGTTGGTGAAGACAGATGTGTCTGGATCTCTACTCACATCCTCAACCAAACAAGATGGAACTGTAAAAAAAAAAAGCCCCCCCTCCTGTTCTGACCTGGGCATTCTGAGAAAAGGACACATATTTTGACTTTATTTGAAGCTGAATGGGTTGATTGCACTGCATCACCCACAGTGGCCACACAATGATGGAGGTTTACTTGCAAACAAGACAATTCTCACAAAAAGGCATTAATACAGCTAGAACCAAGTCCTTAAAATGGAAGTCTTTTTCTTGTCAGGATGAGGGAGTTATTTATCCATCACATGAGTCTGGTTCAGAATCCCAGCTGCAGTGACCGTCTTTGCTGAGCATTAAGATCCTCAGCAACTATGTTAATAAGACCAAAAAGGCTGACCAATGCGCCTGAAACACCCAGAGTCTAATAACTTGTTCTAGTTTTACTAACCGTATGCACAAGGGAAAATATATTCCAACAGAGGGTTAGAGAAAACTATACAGTTTATTAATACTTCCTGGGTTCCCTCAGCTGTTTAAAATTATGCTCTAACGTAGAGAATGCTTTTTTTGGAAACAGAAATTACAGTTAGATTGTTCTCTTGGATGCAGCTGGGGGAAATGAACATTGTCGACTCTGTTAATATCAAAGGTGGAACTACCAGGAACACCTCAAATATTCTGGCTTTTGTATACTTCACTTATAAGTTAAAAACTCTTGTTAAAATGCATCTCCTAGTTACATTATTACTTTATTTTAGTTTCAAATGCTGGATTGTCTTCAGCAGATGTACAGTATTTAGAATGATAGGAAACAAACCGGACCAGACCTTCTAATTGTAATCACCTACCAGTTGGAGTAGCTCCCTTTCTTTTTCTTCCTCTTCTTTCTTTTTCTCAAGCATCCTGCCAGGTAGAGGGATAGAAATATCTCTGATGAACCTTTCTTGGTGAACACACTTGGTTTCATATTACGGTTATAATCACTCACTGCTGTTGTTCAATCTGCTGCGTTCTCTCCTTTGCTCTCCTCTCCCTCTCCTTCGCCTGTTTCTCATCCAAGTCCCTCCTCTCCCTCTCCAGCTTCTGCCTTTCCTGCTCCGCTCTCCTGCTCTCCTCCTTTCGCCATACCTCTTCATCCCTCTAAGAAGAGACATATATCCGACTTACACCTGTTAACAAAGCAGATACTGTGGTATGTAAGGCTGCAGGTGTTTTGCATGACAGGACAAACCTGAGTCTGGTCCCAGAAGTTATCCTTGTTGGTTTGTTGGATCTCCACTACAGCGTTGATTTTTCTGTAGACAGAACCCTGTTAAAAGAAGAAAAGAGTTAGCATGTTGTAAAAAATCTACTTTGGACAAGTAGTGTTAAGCACAAAGATTAGCTCTAAAAATAACCATCAAATGTGGACATAGATCAGCTGCAGGTCTAAATGATTTAGGATCTAGAATGAGCAACAGAAGGAATAGACCAGGGAAGTCAAACCAGAAAGGGCCGTGTGGCTGCAGGTTTTCTTTTCAACCAAGCAATAGCCCACAGACTCCATTCATCTCATCAAGTCATCCTGTTAAGACTAGACTATTAGGAACTATATTTATCTAACATTATACTGGGCAAGTAAAAATTGTTTCTGGGCAAATTAAATGTGAAAGTAAGGTAAAAATCCTTAACGTCAACCCTTGGCATTGTTAAGGTTCAGCTACCTCATCTTCAGCCACTCGTACACATGATAATGGCCATCTAAGGGCAAAGTATATGACTCTTTTTTATTCATTATATTTATTTATTATTATTTATTAAGTATTTCTTTCAACTTCATGTATGTGGAATTGTTCTCACCACTTGCTCCCTCGGGGGATCTATGTAGTTTTGCTGTTTGTGGAAGTTATAGTTGGCTCCAGAAGCTTTGGCCACTTTGTTTAGGATCGTTTCTGGCTCCACGTCCTCCTCTGTACGCGCGTTTATAGTCACATGGGCTCCCTAGGATCAAATGAGTCAAAGCAATATGGGGCAGATGAAATATGAATTGCAGAGGCTACGTTTTCAACTGGTGAAAGAATTGATTACAAAATTCAGACTTACCTTCAAAAAATTTGCAATGGAGCTCAGGTGGTTGGCGCACATGCCTTTACGAGAGTCCTTCACGCCTTCACCAGTCTACGTTAAGAGAGATGGTGTAATCCTATTAGGCTGTGCCTTACAGTTAAGGTGGAAAGTAACAAAATATGTAAACGAACATAAACTTCAGGAGGCCAGTCCTGCAGAGGTTTAAAAAAGGTTTTCTTTACAGTTTAAGCATCTTTGTCACTCTATGAAGCTTTAGCTCATGAAACAAATTAAAATATCAGATAAAGATGAGATAGATGTACTTTATGTACTTTATTTATCCCAAGCTGGGAAATTGCAGTCAAGCTGGGAAATTGCAGTCAAGCTGGGAAATTGCAGATTAATCAGCTGATTAACTGATTAAACAGGTTTTGGGCATCAGAGTTTTTAGTTTATAATGATTAGGCCTAAATAGACCAGAATCAGTAATAATTTAAATAAACCTGTCAAACAACATGACATTTTTGATAGAAATTAAATGAATAGTAAATAACACCATTAATGTACTTTATAGAGTTAATTCAATAAAGACATCTGGATTAATTGGTTCAATCCATGCTCAGCAGAATTACTATGCTGGGAACTTTTCTGGTATATTTGCAAACCTGAGGAATGACTGGACTTAGGAAGACTGAAGTCTGTTCCTAACATAGAAGATCTCATATTTAATGTTATGAGTCGGTTTAAAGCTAGTTGGGGATTAGTTACTAAAATGAATACGAGTCCCTATAAAGTCTTAATACCGGGGAAATAGGAAATTGTCTGAGATGAATAGACACAGAAAGAGAGACTTACCCAGTTTATAAGGACATATTTAGGAAGACCTGAATTGGGGTCTGGGACTCGACAGAATGCATACATGATTTTCCCAGAGTTCAGCTCCTCCACCAGCTCCTCCAACCCTCCACCTGAACATATAAACCCACACCTACATTATTATAAATGCATTTAATATGACTTTATGTAAGAAAAAGATTTCTATTCAATTTTTCCTGGTAAAGATCCAATATATTCATCAAAGACACACTTAGAAAAGTAACTGTTTGAAGAGAAAGAATCTGTATTTATGGTTAGGAATAATGTTTATCATCTGGAATAGATGGTGAAACCTCAGTTGTTAATCATAGATGCTTTTTCTTATCAATACTATCCTATGAGGTATAAATTATTATTATTATTTTTTTTTACTGTTGTTTAATCTTTGACTGCATACGTCAAAATGTTAAATGAAGGGAAAGTGAAGATACAGAGCAACCTAGATAGATATAAGAGCCTAATAAAGAATAAAGTAACTCTTCTCATTGCCAGGCTTTATAAAGGGAAACATGACAACCACGACCGTGACTCTGTGAAAAAAGACGCAGCAGGTTACTGAGGCAGTTCGATGGGTGTGTCAAAATATGACTCACCCACCAGGTGACAGTTCACAAAAGGATCAACAGCAAATATTTGTTCTCAGCTCTTTGTTTTGCCACCTGAGCCACTGCTCTGTCAGACCAGCATACCTATAGTAAATACACATGCGCAACTTGTCAGAATTTCCTTTGATCCCTTTAGTTTTGTATGAAAAATAGATTTTAAACTACCTCAACTGCCGTGTATCCCTTTCGTCATGTACAAAAAAACTATTTAAGGTCAGATCGCCATACATTTAAAAAAACACCGAAAAGTAACTAATTATTTTTTTTTTTTTACATGACTAAAGGGATACACGTCCGTAGTTTAAAGTCTATTTTCCGTACAAAACTAAAGGGATAAACTAAAAGGATAAAAATGGGTATTGTCTATGGGTATGCTGGTCTGACAGAACACCGCCCCACTCTGACTGTACCGTCACTCTGCTACCGTTTGATTTATTAATGTTATAGTTTAAGTCTGGGAATTCATTGACTGTAAGAAGAGGATGTAAAGGGAGGGATCGCTCCAGGCAAAATACCTGGGAATAAGCTCCAAAGTGTAAATGTCTTCAGGGGCCTAAATAACAAAATGGTCTTTCTACCCGCCCTGGAAGTGGAGCGCTACTCATAGGAGATACAAAGTACACAGTACAGCAGGGGCCACATTCCCCTCCCTGACTGGTTTTCAGGAGGGCTTAGAGATCTATGTCAATTCAATTTTTGCAGAAGGAGCAAAAAAAGCCAAAAAAAGTGGGAATAACCTCTGAGACATAAGCGCCTTCAGGGATCTCCTAGTGAGTCAGATTGGTGATGGTGGAACAGAGCAGTGATTCCCAACAGGGGGCACTTGTACTCCTAGTGGTCTGCGGGTGCATTGCAAGGGTTGCATGAAAATATTACATTTTTTAGGTAATAAAATAAAATAGGGCTTGGAAAATCAAACAAGCTTTTATCAACCAAAAAGTACGTTTTTCCTGTGAGTTCGCTTTCAGCTTTGACACATATCAGAACCAAGCAGAGGGATGTAGAGAACAGCCTGGGGTCAGTTGTTTTTCACACTGAGCTCATCAAAGCAGCTCAGGGGTCTGGATGAAAACAAACTAAAACTAATTAAGTCAGTCAATAATTGTTTGTAAAGTATTTTGTTCCCAATTCATCAGGTTTACTTGTGATTATAAGGGAGCTCCAGTTTTATAAATACAGTAGCAGCCATTCAAAATGGCCAACTTCCAGCCACTGGCCTTCTCCTGGGCATATTTTTTCCCTCTGACTCCAACTTTAGATCTTAATGTCGACAAATCATGACAGAAAGAATGTTTTAGTACAAAGATTGATTTTTAAAAATGAATCTTAGGGGACCAGCCAAGGGCCAATCAAGGAAAGTGGGGAAATTTTAAATGGCTATTACTGTACAGGTTTAAAATATGATTTTTATTTTGTATTTATTTTGATTTGTTATTAACTTTTAACTATTAAAAAGAATTCAAAATCCCAAGTTAAAAGTAAGTAAAATAGTTTTTATTTATTAGCAGTTATTGTAAATTCAACTTTTGGACAATCTTTAATACTTTTGAATGAGAGGTGGGACTCGTGGTAAGACAACATGCCCAAAGTGGGACACGAGTCAAAAATGGTAAGGAAACACAGGTATAGAGGGGAAGCTGGAGAGCAGCACCTGGTTTTCTTTGTTCTGTTGCAGTGAAAAAACAGTTAAACAAAACAGTAAAGCTTAAGCGAGGATAGAGAAATGGATGCCTGCTTTCATATGTTTAAACTGTGCTTGATGGTTGGATCTGTGCAGTGTGCATTTAGATCTCTTGACAATCACTGATATCATTTTCTAAACTAACCCAAATTTAAATCTGACCAGCATGCTGGGTCCCTTGGTCTCCATGATTCTCAGAAAGAAGTATCTCTGCTTTTTTTTAATCTCTGCTTCTGTCTCCTTGAACCCCAGTCAGCCTCAGCAGATGGCCGCTCACACTGAGCCTGGTTCTGCTGGAGGTTTCTTCATGTTAAATGGGAGTTTTTCCTCTCCACTGTCGCTACAAGCATGCTTAGTGTGAGGGATTGCTGAATAGTCAATGAGTCGATGCAATCAACTGGTTTTCCTTAGATAGAAAACTTTGAATCAATTTCACTGTATGATCTGGTGAGCTGTAAAGTGC